GAGAAAAGGAACAACTTGAGCCCTCTAAAATAAGAAGTTCTGATGAGTCAATTTGACACTAATGAAGTGATGAGTCGTGGAGAGGGTGGTTACGGTTGAAACAACCGATGAGGGAGGGGTATTAGAAATGGTCCATTCAGAGGAATTGATATATCCGTCGGCCATTGGAAAAAACCTTAGCTAGCTGATACCATATGAGAAATGTAAATAATTGTATTAACAGTGATAAATTACAAGAGTACAGGGCTTAAGTATATATACAAGAGGAGACAGGGGGAGACTGAGATTGGGAATCATAAGTAGACTCAAATACATAGATAGAGTCCTAATAATTCATTGTATTTAAAACACTCATCATCAAGATACAGAATGAAAAAAGATGGAAAGATAGGGAAAATCATCCGAATAAGAAGTGATCACGAGAGAGAATTCGAAAGTTCCCAGTCAAAATCTTTTGTGAAGAAAATGGAATTCACCATGAATTTGCAACCCCAAAAACACCTCAACAGAATGGAGTAGTTGAAAGGAAAAATTGAACTATTCAGGAAATGGAAAGGGTTTTACTAAATCACAAAAGGATATCACCAAGGTTTTGGGCAGAAGCAGTAAAGACGACATGTTATTTGATCAATCGAGTATACATAAGGAGAGAAATCAATATGACACCTTATCAAATCTGGAAAGGAAAAATACCAAATCTAAAGCATACACAAGTATTTGGTAGCAAATGCTATATATTAAAAGACAGAGAACCACTGGGTAAATTTGATATTAAAGGGGATCAAGGAATATTCCTAGGCTACTCATCAAACAATAGGGCTTTTCGGGTGTTTAACCTCAGAACAAACAGTGTAATGGAATCCATAAATGTGGTCATTAATGACACAATTTCAATAGGAATGAAACACTAATGATGATGAAAACCCAGAAGTTGATGAAACAACTGTTCCAACACCTCCGGCTACTGTCACACAGGAATACAAAACAGAGACAGAATCTGAAGAAGCAAAGGAGACAGAAACCAAAAAGGAATTAGAGGAGGAGGAAAATTGGATTCATGAAGGAACAGATTCTGAAAGTGAAAGATCAAGAACTCATGCAATTTTCAAGAAAAGGAGAAAAGAAAAATGTCTGCTAAAGAAAAGGGAAAGAAAAAAGTGGAGCCTAGCTGAACTATTGTACAAAATTGGGAAAGGGTTCAAGATCAACATTGGAAACATCATCCACACACAGATTACAAACCTTGATGAAAACAACATGCCTAAAACCTCTCTCATCTTCCCAAATTTGATCTACTCAGTTCTGTCAACACCACCATCAAATTGAAGTAGGGAGGACACCAGAATGATCTAAAAACCACAGCTCCAAAAGAGAACCCAACAGATCAGCAGACTCTAATTAAGTATTTTGAAAGAAGACTGGCTGAATTGGAAGTCTTAGAAAAAACAGATCTTAAGGAAGCAAATGAAAATCAAAGAATAGAAAATAGAGGTTTTACAATGGCTCAAGGCTTTAAAAGCAGAAAATGAAGAAGAAAGTCAAGAAGAAAGCCAAGAGGAAAACCAAGAGGAAGGTGTTGAAACTTCTGCTTCAACAGCCTCATAATCATTTTAGCCAAAAAGGGGGAGAATACAAGGAAGTTGTGATGATCTGGTCAGTGATGTTTTTGTGGTCTATCTAGATCTTGTCAGTGATGTTTTTGTGGTCTATCTATATGTAGCTAGAAGAAATTTTTTTTTTCTTTCCTGTGTTGTGTGAACATAGCCTGTGTGCTCTTTTTATGTAAACTCTAATTTATTTCTCCTGCTAGCCTACCACATGTTCTAAGGAAGAACAATATTATTTTGTTTGTTCTGCATAGTCAAAGACAGCTCTATCAAGAATAAAAGATTCAGGGAAACAATTAAGGGGAGAAGTGTTAAGTCATCAAGCTCTCATCAGATCATGGTTTTTGCAAAAAATTGACAAAGGGGAGGGGGAGAGTGTTGACTCAAGGATTCATTGTCGAAATTGTGTGCAAAAAGGATTACAAATCCTAATAAAGATAGTAAATAGCAGATATTCCAAATCCTAGACAGAGTAGGATTATCAAGCTTTATTCACAAATGAGTAGGAAGTAGGTATTATAAATAGGAGCAGCTCTCCATCACAAAGACTCACGCATTTAACATTAATTTTGTGAGGTCTGAGAGTCATTGAGAAAAGTTACTAAATTCCCCTAGAAAGTAGTACAGGTGTTTAGGTTACAATAGTACGATAGGAAAGATCATCTATTGTGTAATTTCTGATTCCAAACAATGTATTTTCAATACTGAGCTTTTAGTGGATTTAGGCAAATTCTCAATTTGAGAAGTGCCTCGCAGATTAAGGTTGTTGCCCGAACTGCGTTACAAACTAACTGTGTTACAACTTCTGTTTCAACATCACTGTGTGCTGCATTTTACAAATTTCAAAATGCCTAGCTGTACTCTAGAACATTGAAATATTTCTTCTAGTTAGATGTTTTGAGGGTAAAACTTTAAGGTAAGAATGTAAATGCGTGTCTATTTCGTATAGTATGAAAATGAAAATATTCAACTAAAAATAAAATTTCAAAATATAATGTAATGGATCTCAGCGTTGCACTATACTAACTTTCCAAGGGGTCACCCATCCTGTGATAGCTGTAAGTCAAGCTCGCTTAACCATATTGTTCTTTGGCTATCTGGTTGTCATATCCTACTTAAAACCAATTGGTGATAAGTAGGTGGACATTAACCATTTAACCACATCCCTCCACGGTAAGCCACAACGCCGCATCTCCAATCGAGCAGGGGTTGAACTAGGCCAACCCAGCCCCCTCCCAGCATCTGCCGCAACCATTGAACACCAAGCCCAGTTGCGCAGCATGCCTGACTCGGTCCTTAGCTTTCACGCCCACGGCCAACCCAGCCCCCTCCCAACAGGGGCCGCAATCCTTGAACACCAAGCGCAGTTGCGCAGCATGCCTAACTCGGTCCTTAGCCTTCGCGCCCACGACCAACCCAGCACCTGCCGCAACCTTTGAACACCAAGCCCAGTTGCGCAGCATGCCTGACTCGGTCCTTAGCCTTCGTGCCCATCATCCCCTCCCGGGACTGGACTTGGCTCGACCTACGCCCACATCTCATCTGGGACTGAACTCGGCTTTTGCCTCGCCATCGATTCGAACCCGTGACCTCGGCTCTGATACTAATTTATGGATCTTAATGCTGCATTATGCTGACTTCCCGGGGGTCACCCATCCTGTGATGGCTGTAAGTCAAGCACGCTTAACCACAGAGTTCTTTGGTTATCTGGTTGGCATATCCTATTTAAAACAAATTGGTAATAAGTCGATGGACCTTAACCATTTAACCACATCCATCTATGGTAAGACACATCGCCACGTCTCGAATCGAGCAGGTGATGAACTCGGCCAACCCAGCCGACGTCCAACATAATGCAAATCTATTTTTCAACTTTTTTTACTAACAAAGTAAAAGATTCAAATTCAATCCAATAAATAACTAACTTTTTAAAATTTTAAAAAACAACATTCTAAAGATTAATATTTCATATGTTTCCTAACGTATTTCAGTTAGGGCCTGCTCAGGACATCTTAATATCTTATGGTCAAACCAAAATAAATAAACTTATCTTCTTTGAAATAGTGTCTTCTTTAAAACTTAGAAGTAAGATAATTCTGATCCCTACATTTTTATTTTCCGGCCTGTTTGAACTTAGCATGGAAAGTCCAAACCATTTCATTCATTTTTTTTTTCCCCTCAAACAATGCCGGAAAGAATTGCCACAATTGTACGTAAATTTTTCAACTATTGTTCATGTAAGCTTTTGTTGACAAATTTTAACCATTTGTACTTCTCTTCTTATTAATAATATAATATTTTGAAAGCAAATTAAAATTGTAGAAATGTAAAAAATAATCTAAAAATGAATAAGTGTGAATGAATGTTATAACCTTCATTTATGTTCATTTTTCCTTATGTTTTTTTATACATTATGATATAAGAGTTGTACTATACAATATTTTAGACAAACATATCACTACCGTTATAACTTCCGTTATCTTTTCCACTATTATTACCATGCACATGCATCCACCATATATTTTCTTATCTTCTTCAATAATAATAATAATAATAATAATAATAATAATAATAATAATAATAATAATAATAATAATATACACATTATTATTATATTATTTACAATAATATAAATATTTAAAATTTAAATAAATCTAAAATTTTAATATAAAATATTAATGTTGGACATTTATTTTTACACATTGTACATAAAAAAAAAATACTAGTAGAATAATAAAAGTATGTTGATAACTTGATATAGTAGTATAGTTCATTTTAAAAGTAGGGGAGAATTGTTGAGCATATATGGAGAACTAATAAATGGATTAGTGGCTCATGACTAAAGGATGAAAATGTAATTACACATTTAATATTTGTACGCAATTATTATGGCAGCGAAATATTCGGGGCATTTGTCCACAACTTTTACTGGCGATGTGCTTTTACAGTTTTTTTTTTTTTTTTTTTTTTTTTTGAAAGTCAACCAATGGGTTGTATTTATAGATAAGCTGAAATAGCATCAGGTGGGATATCATCCCAATACATAGCTGTATCATACTGAGAAGCTGAGGCTGCTAGACTATGTGCTAAGTAATTTTGCGATCTAGAAATAAAATGAACATGACAATATGTAAAAGTAGTAATATGGTTCCTGCATCCATCTAAAGCATAGCCAATATATGATCTTGGTAGTTGATACGGTGGTGTCAAATATTTTTGTAGCGTCTGACAGTCCGTATAAAGCTCAACAGATTGCACTCCCCGATCACGTAACCATGACAGGGCCTCCTTGCAAGCATACGCCTCTGCCATCAATGGTGAATAACAATATGGTAATGGCGCAACAAAAGCCGAGACAAAATTACCGTTCAATCCCATAAGTACCGCACCTACCGAAGCTTGATTGGACCCATCGAAATAGGCCGCATCGACAAAACATTTGTTGCACTGTTGCCGTTGTCCAAGTGGGTGTGTTGAATTGCTTTGCACGGCAGTAAGTACTCCAGGCGGTTGGTTGTCGGCAGCAACATTTGGAGCAGCGGCAATTGGTGGAGGCAGATGCACCTTGCGCCATATATTTACCGCAGCATGTATCATAGCCATCGTCTTCCTCGGATAAGTCAAACAAGCGTCCCATACTGCTCCATTTCGGGCCTTCCATAGGTAGTATAGTATTGCAGCTGCGTAGGGAATTCCATAAGAGTCTAAAATATTCAACAATTCATCAAACCATTCATAAAAAACATTTGTCACAATGCTTGGTGATGGTAGGTTAGATTGTGTCCAAATGGCTTTAGCATAGTCACAGAAAACCAATGCATGCATAACATCTTCATTTTCTACCCCACACACGGCACACAATGGACTCACATCCACCCTTTTACTACGCAAGTTGTTAGTAGTAGGGAGGATATCATTTATGGCCTTCCATATAAACATTCTCCATTTGGGCGGTATTTTTTGTTTCCATAAAGTGAGCCATTTATTAAACCCCGGGTTCATACTACTCTCATAATTTCCAATAATACGTCTGTACCCATCTTTAACTGAGTAGCAACCATTGGGGTCCCCATGCCAGTACCACTGGTCCTCATATTTCTGGGAGACTGGTATTTTTAAGATTCTTGACACATCTTCTGGCTCAAAAATATCAATAAGCAAATGATAATCCCATGTTCCTGTCCCCTGATCCATTAAGTTGGCTACTCTAATATCAGCCAGCTGGGGTGGCATTTCTGTTTGGATCATGGGCTCCTCTCCATCTTGCAACCCAGGATGGTTCCACACAGAGGTAGAATTTCCATTCCCAATCCTTCTTCTCACGCCACTACATACTAGGCTTTTTGCAGCCATAATACTCCTCCAGCAATGACTGGGATTATTCCCCAGTTCTGCTTCCATAAATGAAAGTCTAGGGTAATATCTGGCTTTATAAACTTTTGAGACCAATGATTCCGTGTTTGTAAGTAATCTCCATGCCTGCTTACCCAAAAGAGCCACATTAAAAGCCTTAAGATCTTTAAAGCCCAATCCACCATATTTCTTAGGGAAACATAGCTTATCCCAAGCTGTCCAATGTATTTTCCGGTCAGTCCCAGATCCCCACCAATATCAGTTCATAAGACGCTCAATAGCAGTACAGACAGACGCTGGTAATAAAAACACACTCATTGAGAAGGTAGGCATAGCCTGGGCCACACTTTTCAATAGGATCTCCTTACCAGCCTGTGACAATAATTTCTTATTCCAATATCCTATTCTCTGCCGGATCTTATCCTCAATGTAAGCAAAAGCTGCTTTCTTATTCCTCCCAATAAATGATGGCAAGCCAAGATATTTTCCAAAATTAGGAGCCTGCATTACCTCCAACACCTGCGCCACATTATCCCTTTCTTCATCAGTTGTATTCCTGCTAAAACATATACTCGATTTCTGAAAATTGACCTTCTGTCCAGACAACTTCTCATACAGTGACAGGCAGTTTTTTTATCTCAATAGCCTCCTGGCCAGTTGCTTTAAAAAACAAAAGACTATCATCAGCAAAGAAAATGTGTGAAACAGCGGGGGCACCACGCGCTACCCTGCATCCATGTATTAGACCCCTATCTTGTGCTCTCTGCAATAGCAGTGATAGGCCCTCAGCACAAATAATAAACAGAAAGGGAGATAACGGATCACCTTGCCGCAATCCTCTAGTTGGTATAATTGCATCACTTCGAATTCCATTAACCAAAAAGCTATATGAAACTGTAGAGACACACATCATAATAAGATCAATCCACTTAACATGGAAACCCAGTGCCACAAGCATACCCCTCAGAAAAGGCCATTCCATACAATCATAGGCTTTAGCCATATCCAACTTCAGTGCACTCCATCCTACCGCCCCACACTGCTTCCTGTTCAAATAATGCCCTACCTCTGAGGCTACCAAGATATTATCTGTAATCAATCTGCCAGATATGAATGCACTTTGTGACTCAGATATCATTCATCAGGGGCTTCATCCTCTGTGTCATCATTTTAGCCATAACTCTATAGACTACATTACTGAGTGCAATTGGTCTAAGGTCAGAGACCAACTCCGGATTATCTTTTTTTGGAATTAATACCACATCAGTGTCATTGAGCCCCGGGGGAAACGAGCATGTATTCAAACAATTAACAATAAAACTCGAAACATCCCCACCTACAATATCCCAAAAATTCTGATAAAACCCTAGATTCATTCCATCCGGGCCCGGTGCTTTTACAGTTAATCATAGACTTTACTCAATAAAAAATTAAACTTAAAAAATACTCGTATTTTATTATTATGTTTGGAATAAAATATAATAATAATAATAATAATAATAATAATAATAATAATAATTATTATTATTATTATTATTATTATTATTATTATTATATTATTATTATTATTATTATTACTATTATTATTAGGATCATACTTGTGTGCGACCGATCCTTATTAGTGAGATATATCGTGTTATGTTAATATGAAAATATAATACTTATATTGAAAAATGTAATATTAATTAGTAATTAGAAATAAAGTGTTTGTTACTTAAAGAAAATGTAATACTTTTGAAGAAAAATGTAATAATTTTAAATCAAAATATAAAAGTATTACATTTTTCCTTAAAAGTATTATACTTTTCCATATAAGTTATAATTTTATTCATTACTAGTATTAAGGGATGGTATACTAAGCTTACTAAATGAACCGGCCTAAGAAAGTAATTGGATCAAAGAAGTCAAAGAAGGTGTGACAACCCAAAATACTTTCTTCCAATTTTTATTTTATAAAATTCTAAATAAATTATTTTTACTCCTACGATAATTTTTCAAAAAGGGTGTATGGATAAAATATTTTTAATTCCTTATTTCTAGCAATTTAACACCAAATATTCATACATTTATTTAAGATTTTAAAAGCCCTATTCCATGAGTATAATTATGTACTCATGTTTTGACCCAAAAAATCTATCGGAGAGACACCTGAGAGAAACATGTGAAACTGATAGCCAAGTTTTTGACCCAAACTTGATTTCAAAATGAACCTAACTCATTCCTATATTTATTATATCGTATTAGATCTAAACTTGACTCAACTTTTGACCCAAATTTACAACCCGAGATTTTAACCCGCGAAAATGACCCAAAACCCTCCTAGTCGTGCACCTCTAGAATTTAGGGTTTTGTGCCCTATAAAATAGCACTATTCCATTCATTTCCTGATCTCTCCATTCTCTGCCTCTCCACTTCATTTTCTCTTGCAAGGAAGACACCAACAAAAGACTCCAAGCTTTGTAAGATTCATTTCTTCTTCTCCCTTTGTCATTCTCCATTTCCATTCAACTCCTTCTTCTTCTACTTCTTTCCTTTTCCTGCTACTGAGTATGTTCATATATGTGTGTATGTTGTTGTTTGTGTGGTCATGGAGTCTTAGGTGGTGAAAGGGAATACTAAGTTTGAAGATAGAAAGGAAGGATTTTTGAGGTAGAGGCTAGCAAGCTCAAGGTATAACCCATGAAAACCTAAACCCTAACTATTTTTCCCTTAAAAATCTGTGAATGGCTATATAGTTTAATGTTGATGTTTGTTGCTTGATAATGATGAAATGTGTGGTGTTTGATGCTTGTATGATGTGGGTATGATGCCTTGTTGATGTATTAATGATGTATTGATGCCATAATGTTGTTGTTGAATGTTTTGGAAGAGTGTGGTGGTGTGGAACTGGGGTTTTCGGACTGGAAATGGTGTGTCCAGAGCTCAGAGGTCACTGCATCGTTGAGAACTTGGCCTAGCGGAGCCAACCAACGAATCCAAGTGGGATCCGTTGGCAAGCTCCGCTAGAGGGCGGAACTGGGTGGTGGACCCTATTGTGATCCGCCACTCAGTGCCGTGGCTTGGCGGAAGCAAGTGACGGAGCCCCTCAAGCACGATCACTTAGCTCCGCCAGGTCACTAGGTAGGCAGGTCCCTTTGAGGCTCAGCCCACTGTTGGTTGTCCTGGACCGGGAATCGTGAGCCCATGAGGGTCGGAGACTCAGGACCACGACGACATGCTTGCATAAAATGTGCCTATTTGATTTGTGAGTAAAGCCCATTTATTTTTCAACCAAAGCATGAGATATAATTTTACTAAGTGTTTGAGTACATAGGTTTGTGACCATTGAGCATATATTGACATTAGTGTTGAACCATGAAATGATGATGGATTTGTTTAAGTGTCCGAGTTGTATTGAATAGTTGCTTTATAATCAAGTTGACATGATTACATGATCATTTGTGCATAAATTGTTACACATCATTTCACATATTTAAACGCATGACTTTTGAGCAGTTTGAGCTACATTTACTTACGAGTATGAAAGACCTATATTATAGCCTTAAAATATTTTCAAAACCTACACACACACACACACACACACACACACACACACACATATATATATATATATATATATATGTGTGTGTGTGTGTGTGTGTGTGTGTGTGTGTGTGTGTGTGTCTGTGTGTCTGTGTGTGTGTGTATGTAAGTAAGTATGTATGTTGAACCTATATCTATACTCTTGAAAATGATGCATGTCATTATGATTCCCGCTATAGAAAATGGAGTTTTGTAACACCTCACTTTTCTTAATCTAAAACCCGATTACTTAACTTAACAAGACAAGCTAAAAAAGAAATAAAGAAAGATTTCAATAACTTGAACCAACTAAAAACCAACCAACGGGTGTTACTGACACAGTCACCACTCGAGGTGACTGCACAGGGTAAAAAGGGAAATAAACTAAACAAGTCAACTTCATTAAAAACCTTAAAGATTGGGGTATAACCCCGGTGTTCAACACCAACAAAAGATCAATCTAAGTCAACAGTTAACAAACATCTAACATCAAACATCAATATCTAGTCAAAAACATCCAAACAGATACTATCTAAAATCTAACAACTCATCTACGCACTACAACTACTCGTGCACGCTCAACAACTGGGCCCACCTGAAAGGGGTTATAAAAACAAGTAGAAAATAAACCCGTTAGCAAAATAATGTTAAGTATAAAACCACTCAACCATGTAAAGTACTATAGATTATAGGTTTGAAAATCATTTAGCAAGCACACTTAAACTCAAGTACTTTCAATACTTAAACAACAAACTCAGATCATGCTTATAAACATTTCTATATACTTGCAACCTAATCAATCATAAAATCAACACAATAGTCATGCTTTCTCAAGTATTCAACTTCACACAAATCTCATGCTTCAACAATAAATAAAGAGATACTAAATAACATAACAACAATCTCATGCTTTCATGCTAAACAACAATCAATAACAAACTAAACATCTCAACATACTCTAAATGAAACACATTCAATCAGGTGTAAGGAAAAACCATGATGCTATAAGTAGATATATACTCTCACACTAAAAAAAAATGTATACTTTTCTTTGGAGGTTTCTGTTGAGTCTCAAAGACCCGCTTTTCTCTTTCAGTCACACAAACTCACTTTCTCTTCTTTCTCTGAGTCACAAAGACTCACTTTATCTTCTTTTCTCACGAGCGAGGCAGGAACTTCACCACGTGTGAACGGACCTGTCCGGGCTCGGCATCTAGCCGGCCTAATCTCAATCTCGCCCGCAGAACCACTCTATGGGTTCTAAACTCAAACTCTGTGAAATTAGGTATCGTACTTGTTAGTGTGCGCACCCCCTAATCGGGATTCCAAGCCCAACGGGTAGTATCAAACCTAGTAACGTGGGAATACGCCTCGTTACTTCATCTCGGACCGCAATATCCATAACTTTCTCAAACTTTCTTTCGTTCTCTTCTCTTCCGAAAGGACATAGTCCTAACGGGCCTCCGAAAAACCTATTGACCTCACAATATATATATATATATATATATATATATATATATATATATATATATATATATATATATATATATATATATATATATATATATATATATATATATATATATATATATATATATATATATAGTTATGCCTCATGCAACATCTTTCTCATGCCACACTCATGCACAAATAATCTCAATCAACTTCTCTTTCTCACAATTTTGGAAATCAAATATCATGCAACTTCTCAATGTAAATAGATGATGATTTTCCAAAATAGATATAGGGATTGAAAATAGTTTAAGGCTTCACTTTGAGCCTTTACTTTACTGTACTTATACTTTAAAAGTGGCAAAATGACCTTTTCAAATGCAAAGTTTCTAAAACAGTGACTTATGCAAGAAATCTCAAGAATCTCAACAAATCTACTATTTAAGAGCTAAGCCAAGCAATTAGCACATTTAATCAAGCAATTCTTGTAAGCAAAAGCCAAACTGATATTTCATATCTTTGATCTCAAAAGCTAAACAAATACTCAAGGACTAAATTCATACTTTGTCTACTAACATGCTTCTACTAAAAAATCAAACAATTACAACTCATACAAGCGTGTCGTAACGAGCCCGAGTGTCCGAGCCTCAAAGGCCCACGAGTCCCGGTTCGAAACAACACATGGCTGAGCCTCAGAAGGCCCGACCTTCTCCTCAAAACCAACAACACATAATAAACACATTATCATGCATTCACAAACATCTCTAAACATCAAATCTCAAGAAAACTCCCACTCAAAGGGTTAAAATAATAGATTTGGAAATCCATGGTTTATACCTTTAACCGAGCTCCAAAGCTAAGCATTCGATTTCTTGAGCTCACTCCCGAGCTAGCCACTTTAACGAGGAACCTGTAGATCAACCGATTCTATTTCGTTACACATACTATTATTATTAACAATAATAACATTAGAATATATCTTATTTTCATGAATCTAATATTCTTTCTTTATCGTTATTAAACTCATAATCCCACTTAGTCTCCACCCCTTTATTATTTACTCACCACTTCAACACCCACAACATAAACCTCATCATTTGAACTCCATCTATAGTCACCCATCACAACTAACATTATCATCCTTGTCATAATATTATAACCCAAATCATTTAACACCATCTTAATCATCCATAATCCCCACAACTTTGTAATGATAAAGGAAAATATTATATGTTGGCAACAAGATTTGAACTAAAGCTCTTCTCAAAGTTAAACACAAGCTTTACCAACTAGTCTACCATTATTTGTTAACCCATAACACTAATCACTATTGATAGAACTTTAATCATTAATACTAGCCATAACTAAAATGTTGATAGTAAGATTTGAATTTGGGCCTTCACCATATCAAATCAAGATTCTAACCACTCCACCATTTTAATTTATTTTACCCTTTTTAACCCATCACTGAACACTATAATAATATTAACAATAATTCCCTTACTGTCATAAACACCATCTCCGTTAACAAAGCTTAGTCTTCACATTTTCGACAAACACAGCATCATCAACTCATAACTTTCAACAACTAAACTACATTCATATCAACACATTACTACTCCACTTTCCTCATTCATTAAACTCCATTAATACACTAGCTTTAATACAAGAATAGAGCTTTACCCACGGATCCACTGTCCGCCGCGAGCCTCGCCGGAAAATAGAGGAGGGAAAAAAAAAAAGACGCCGGAGCTGCTGCTTCGACCCGCCTTTGCCTCTACCATGCCGAGAGTCCACCATGGACGCCGTACGGCTCTGCCCCTCCGCCGCCGCTACCATCCAAGCTTCTAGTTGCCAGAAGGCCTCTTCTCACCCTGCTGCTGTCGCTATGCCCAGATGCTGCCATCGACGAGAGTAAATGGTGAAGGAGACGAGTGGGAGGGTAAGCGAGGGAGGGAAAGATGGAGGTCATGTTAGACTAAAATATCACATGCATCAAAGAATATGTGATCATAGGATCGACTAACCTCCAGCCATAGTTTCGGTTACGGTTGAGCGATCCGGACTGCTGCAGAGATAACGAGTATTTTGTCTCTCACTTTACTCAGCTCTCTCTAGATGGTGTATGGGGTATGTCATGTGAGCAGTGAGAGGACTAGTGACCTTAAATAACCACTGGCCATCATTGTGGTTGATTGTCTTTAGGTCTCCTAAACCCTAACCAGACTCCTAATCATAATGGTAGTCTAGTTATTAGGTTATTAGTGTTGCACCACATATCAAATACTGAATATTATCATAACTTATCCTAATGTTATAATAATAGTAACGGATAAACGTTACATTCTCCCACTTGGTGCAAGCACTACCACTCAATAACAGAAATACACCAACCATAATGATATGTTCTCATTAGCACGAGTAGTTTCCATTATGATCAAATGCAAACTGCCATTGAGCACTTAATTAGGAAACAAAACCCAACGAAATAAACCCTATGTTTATTCCAAGTCCCTGAAGTACATTTTCTCATCAATATGAAGCAAATGAAGGTGTACACACTTAATTGAGAAAATGTCTGAATGCCAAAGAATTTTAAACTGAATGTATATACAAATTCCATAGTGGGAAAAAGTCCCATTTTCTGAACCAGATCCTTGAATTTAACTGAAGGCATGCATTTAGTCAAGGGATCTGCTGACACCAACTCAGTATGAATGTGTTCAAAGAATACAACTTCATTTTTGACACGCTCCCTAATTGCTAAGAACTTGATGTCGATGTACTTAATTCGACTCCCACTTTTGTGGTCTTAGCTAGGAAGACTGCAGCTGAGTTGTCACAGTAAACTTTTAATGGCTTAGATATAGAATCCATAATTCTAAGCCCATAGATAAATTCTTTAGCCAAACACCCTATGAAGTTGCCTCGAAACTGGAAACGAACTCGGCTTCCATGGTAGAAGTAGCTATTAAGGACTGTTTAACACTTCTCCATGAGATAGCCCCACTGGCCATAATAAAGACGCACCCTAAAGTTGATTTTTGAGAATCAACACAGCCAGCAAAGTCCGCGTCTGAATAACCGACAAGATCTAAATTGTCCGTCTGCCTAAACCCAAGCTTGTAACATTTGGTTCATCTTAGATACCTTAGAACCCTCTTTACAGCTCTCCAATAGTCTAACCCTTAGCTATGGGAGCAACATTAGATGAACAATTTTGCACATGAAATCTCTCTAAAACTTTGTTTATATAGGTTTCTTGAGATAAACCCAGTATACCCCGGGACCTATCTCTACGAATTTTAATGCCGATAACGTAAGAGGCATCACCCATATCCTTCATATCAAAGTTCTTAGAAAGAAATTGTTTCACATCACGAAGCATCCCATTATCATTGGTGGCAAGTAAGATGTCATCCACATATAAAACAAGGAAGCAAATTTCACTCCCACTCACCTTCTGGTATATACAGTTATCTGAGGGATTTTCAACAAAACCAAATGAAGAAATTACCCCATCGAATTTGATGTACCATTGACGGGAGGTTTGTTTTAAACCGTATATGGATTTCTTAAGCTTACATACTAAATGCTCACCACCCCTAGAAGAGAAACCTTCAGGTTGTTTCATAAAAACCTCCTCTTCTAGATCACCATTTAGGAAAGCGGTTTTCACATCCATTTATTGCAACTCAAGATTGAAATGTGCAACTAATGCCAGAATGACCCGAAGTGAATCTTTCTTTGATACAGGAGAAAAGGTCTCCTTGTAATCGATTCCTTCTTTTTGAGTAAATCCCTTGGCAACAAGCCGGGCCTTGTATCTCTCAATGTTGCCTAATGAGTTTCGTTTAGCCTTAAAGACCCATTTACAACCAACGGACTTGGCCCCATTAGGCAACTCAACAAGATCCCAAACTCCATTGTCCTTCATGGAATTTATTTCAAACTTCACGGCTTCTAACCATAAGTCAGACTGTGCACAATTTGTGGCTCGAGAGAATGTTTCAGGATCATTTTCAGCCCCTATGTCAGATTCTTGTAGATACGAAACATAATAACTAGGAACTGCTGATCGCCTTACCCGAGTAGACCGTCTTAAGGTTGGACCCTCATCACCTTGTACAGGCTGCGGGGCAACTACCTCTTCAGGAACTGGTGGCAGTTCTTGAATCGGTTCAGTCTGCATCGGCTCAGAATCTTGCTGTATATCCTGAGTTGGTTCAACCATTGGTTCGAAATCTAGTTCAGGCGGTTGCTGCAAGTCCTGAACTGGTTCTTCCAAAGGCTGATCCTCAACAGTTTGTGGAATCTCAACGGTAGGTGGTATATCTGCAGGCATAACTAAAGGAGCACTGCGGATAAGTACAACCCCACCAGATGACATAGAAGGTTGAGAGTCAATATGATCGAAGGAAGGAACTAAGTCCTTAAACCGATCACTCCCACTAATCAAGTCATCTTCAAGAAATTTAGCATTCCTTGATTCCACTATCCTAGTAGTATGAGATGGACAATAGAACCTATAACCTTTAGAAGATTGTGCATATCCAATAAAGAAAGCACTAATCGTCCTTGGGTCAAGTTTCTTCTCGTGTGGGTTATATATCCTCACCTCAGATGGACATCCCTAAACACGCATATGTTGCAAACTCGGTTTCCAACCTTTGAATAACTCAAACGGTGTCTCAGGGACAGCCTTGGTTGGAACACGGTTTAATATATACGTTGTCGTCTTAAGTGCTTCATCCCACAACGACTTAGGAAGCTTAGAGTTGCTAAGCATACTCCGCACCATATCCAGAAGGGTCCAGTTTCTTCTTTCAGCTGCACCATTTTGGTCCAGAGAACCAGACATGGTGTATTGGGCAACAATCCCATGCTCTTGAAGAAACTTAGCAAATAGACCAGGTGCTTGCCCATTCTCATTGTATCTACCATAGTATTCACCACCCCTATCAGACCTAACTATGTGTATTTTCCTGTTACATTGGTTTTCAACTTCAGCTTTAAATGATTTAAAGGCATCCAATGCTTCATGTTTATGATGAAGTAAATACACATAGGAAAAACTTGAGAAGTCATCAATAAAGGTGGTGAAATATTTCTGACCAGGTATTGTCATATCAGGACAACATATGTCAGTATGAATAATTTCCAACAATGTTGTACTTCTATTGGCACCTTTCTTTGACTTGTTTGTCTGCTTACCCTTAATGCAGCCAACGCAAGTCTCAAAGTCAGTATAGTCTAGAGTAGAAAGTACTCCATCCTTTACCAACCTTTTAATACGCTCAAGGGAGATATGACCTAATCTCCGATGCCACAACATTGAGGAATTGTCGTTAATACTACACCGTTTGGTGCCGTTTTGAACATGTAAAGAATTGTAAACTGAATCATTCTTTAATTTAAGACGGAAAAGACCATTAGACAATGTACCAGTACCAACACAAGTAGAATAACGAAATAACTTGAAATCATTGGCATTAAATTCCAAAGAATATCCGAAGGGTACAAGTCTAGATACTGAAACTAAGTTCCTAGAAAAACTAGGAACATAAAAAGTCTTTTCTAATGTCAATACAAAGCCATTGTCCAAAACTAAATTGCAAACTCCGACAGCTTCTACTGGTGACGCAATCTTGTTTCCAGAGAAGATGCTACACTCAGTTTCCTTTGGCTGTCTCAGTTTTGTCATATCCTGCAAAGAGTTTGCAATGTGGATTGTTGAACCAGAGTCAACCCACCAGGAATTAGTATTAACTTCTGACATGTTAGATTCGAAACAAACGAAAGAGATGAAATGTTACCTTTTTGGGACATCCATTTCTGAAACTTGATACAATCTTTCTTCATGTGTCCCTTCTTTTTGCAAAAGAAACACTTTTGTATCTTCTTAATGTCTGCTTTCGGGGTTAGTTTCTCCTTAGCAGCTATGGTAAGTCCCTTAGGTTTTCCACACTTTCTTTTAGGCCTTGTTGTGGCCATAAAAGCACTTTCCCCAAGCTCAGTTACAAGTCGCGTTTCCTCTTGAGTACACATGGTAATCAATTGATTGATAGACCATTCATCCTTATGTGTATTATAGGAAATCTTAAAAGGATTGTACTCCTGAGGGAGGGTATCAAGTGCAAAAAGCACCAAATAATCATCTGGTAGAATGATTTCCAACTCCTTTAATTGAGCCGCAATATCCCTGAGTTGCATAATGTGTTCACGCGTTCCCTTGACAGTGGAAAGACGCAAATTTCTCAACTTCATGATTAGAGTCATTGCCAAAACTTTCTTTGATTCAATGAAGTTATCATCGATAGCTTTGAGCAAGGGTTTCGCTTTCTTAATGTCCTCAAAGCAAAAATGAATTTTTCTGGAAATTCTTGACTTAATGAAGAGCACACATAATCCATTGGATTTCTCCCATTGTGCGCGAAGCTGCTTGGCTTCGCTAGTGCTTTCTTCAGTAACCTCAGTGGGTTCCTCATTGAGAACAGCGTAATCCAACTCTAATAATCTTAATTGCAAGAGAATAGCATCTTTCCACTCTTTGTAGTTATCTTCATTAAGGATTGGAACATTAATTTGTGTTTGGGTGACAGGATGAGTTGCTGTAAAGAATAATAATTAATGCTTGGTTAGAATTTTCGAGGCACAAAAAATTAGAGAGAGATACTGAAGTACATAATATTACCAATGTAAAATTATGCGAAGGATAAATTCGGATGCCATAAAAATTGCCTGTGTGCTAAATTTTTACGCATAATGAATTTACCAAAACTGAATGGTGGAAACGGAATAGGTGCGATTTTAATTTTTCCACTCTTAATGACAAAACTACCAAAACTATATGCCGATACATAATCCCTGTGGGCAAATTATGTTCATAGTATGGTATTTCATCCTAATTAACCCTACAAATATAACAAAATTGCCTGTGGGCTAAATTTTGCCATATCACACAGAGTGAATTACAATATTCTTGCATTAACTTTATGTGAGTAAAACTTAATATGTAATTTTGGAAAATTAAAGATGCTGTGGCTACTCTTTAATTAACCAAAGAACATAATCACATTAGCAAGAAAACCTAATAAACAAACAGATTAAACCAAAATATGATAGACAATTCTTAGGTATACTCCCAGGAAAGTTGGTCGAGGCGAAGCTCGGTTAAAAACCAACTCCTTAGACAGAGTAGCGTCGCAAGGGGACTAGTAGCAACAAGGCTTTTAAGCCAGGGCCATAGAACTAGTATTCCTCCCCAAGAAACTTCCCTAATTCATGTGTTCTCATTTTTGAAGTAAAATCGTTTGAGAGATCTAAAGAGTGTAGTTTCACCTATGGATAAGGCTTTGAATAGGGTAAACTACAATTTGTTTATGTACTTTATGTGTTTTAGGAACATTATAAAACACGAGTGGAGTAATAACTAAAGAGTGAGTAATAATATGCATAATCTAACCTGAAAGGCACTAATTCACCTAAAGGTACTAAATCATGCAAAGCATATAATTCAGACCTAAAAGGCTCTAAATTTTTCTTAATGAACATGCTTTTCTACAGTCATAATTATAACAGTCAAATAATTATTGCAATAAGGAGATAAATAGCATGCTCAGATTATGCATATTACTCACAAAATACTCCACAATTAAATTGTAACACTTAATACAATTTAAACTGAAAAACATTATTAAATTAAAATTCAACTGAAGAATTAAAACTGAATAATTATTCAAAGTTGAACAATAATTTAATAATAGACTTAATAAAAAAAAATTCAATTGGATAATTTAATTAGAAGAAGTCCAAATATGATGAAGATGTTAATCTGAATGAATTGATGTAGTCCAAATATCAATTCAGATTTGGCTCAAAACCATAATAGGCCCAGATTTAAAAAAAAATAATAATAATTTTTTTTTTTTTATATAGGAGCCCAGGTCTGGCCCAATTGGGCCAGACCCGGCCCAATTCACTTAAGTCCATCATTCATCATCTTCTTCATCTATTTCACGCAACAGCAGCGCAGACCAGCAAACGCACAGCCATGGAGGACGAATTAGCAGTCTAAAATGTCGCCGGCGTCGCCAATAGGGAAGTAGATAGCAGCAACGTTGCCGGAAATCCAGCTCCGCCGCCACCACCTGGCCTCCTCGCAACGCTAGCACCTCCGCCGTCCGCCCCCGCAGCCACGTTGCGAACTAGTCCGGCCGTGACGCAACGCCAACCGACGACATACAGAACACGACGCTCCTTAAGGTCGTGCCATCGTCATCGTTGATCCATGCCATCACCGGAAACACCATTGTTGGTGATGATGAAGGAGGACGACATATACAGTAACTTTTTTTTGAAATTAAATGTGTCCTCCACCAACAACAAAGAGTTTCTGGCAATTTCAAAATAAAATGGCAATTGGAATTGCTAAAGAATGGCGCAGCAGTAGGAAAGCAAATCCAATAAAAAATTTTTTTTCTTATATTTTAAATTCTTAATGCGGAAAAAAAAAAAAAAAAAAAAAAAACTTAATTTCCAGCAGTCCAGAAAATTTAATTACGGACTCAAGAGTATTCACATATGTATCTCAATTATACAAAATTGTATACAACATATGTAAATATTTAAGCAATTAAAAAAACTAGGCAGAGATTATTTATGACGACTGATACCAACTGTTAGACTAAAATATCACATGCATCAAAGAATATGTGATCATAGGATCGACTAACCTCCAGCCATAGTTTCGGTTACGGTTGAGCGATCCGGACTGCTGCAGAGATAACGAGTATTTTGTCTCTCACTTTACTCAGCTCTCTCTAGATGGTGTATGAGGTATGTCATGTGAGCAGTGAGAGGACTAGTGACCTTAAATAACCACTGGCCATCATTGTGGTTGATTGTCTTTAGGTCTCCTAAACCCTAACCAGACTCCTAATCATAATGATAGTCTAGTTATTAGGTTATTAGTGTTGCACCACATATCAAATACTGAATATTATCATAACTTATCCTAATGTTATAATAATAGTAATGGATAAACGTTACAGGTCAAGCTGCTGCCCTGCCTCCACTGCACCGCCGAGCTCCTCCGCCACCGCCGCTCGCCTAGGCTGCCGTCGCCCGAACTGCTAAACCGAGAGAAAGAGACGAAAGAAAGACACGGCTAAAAAAATGAGGAAAGGGGCTTGGCATTTTCTATCTGTAGATATATATTTATATGAAGATATATTTAGGTCTATTGTGGTCAAAGTTGTATGAGGAAAGGTGCTTGGCATTTTGTATCTGTAGATATATATTTATATGAAGATCTATTTAGGTCTATTGTGGTTAAAGTTGTATTTAGAAAGTGGGCTAGATTATAAATTATAGTTGGGTAAAAATATTGGACTAAACTAGAGTTGAATCAAATATTTGCGTTTGGGTTACAAATAGATATATACTACATCTATTTTGAGTTTATAATAATAAGTAAATTTTAGGTAATTAAAATCGGTTGTTATATCATGCACCGCGGTGCATGATCAATCATGCACCGCATGTCAGACACTACAGTGTGTCTAAACTGACACTGTCTCACGTATTATTTTTATATTATCAAATGAAACTACAGTTATATTAAAATGATACTGTAGTTGTGGTGAAATGAAACTACAGTATATATAAAATGAAACTGAATAACATTTCACATATTTGAGTGTATATTGTATAATGAAGCTGTAATTATATTGAAATGATCATGAAGTTGTGTTTTAATAAAATTATAGTGTATATAAAATAAAATTAAATAATATTTTCACATATTTGAGTGTATAAATATTGAATGACATTGTAGTTATATCAAAATGAAACTGTAGTTGTATTGAACTAAAACTGCAATGTATACAAAATGAAACTGAAGAACAAAATTATTTTTTACGAAGATTCTGTTTCTTTTCATTAAATAAAACGACATCGATGTAGACACACTATAGTGGCAATTTATATCCTACACCGCGGCGCGCGTTGCACTATGCGCCCAGATGCAAAACGACGTCGTTTTAATTATTTTTTTTTTGAAATTTCCCGCCCCAGTGAATGGCAGTAGTTTTTTCTTAAAAAAAAAGCCGCTGTTCAAGAATGTACATAATGTTATACTAGAATACACATAATGTTATACATGAATGTACATAATTATATAACAAAATATACATACTCTTTTTAAAAGATAATACACATAATCTAACATAATACATAATAAACAGAAACTTTTAACATAATACACATCAACTCTTAACATAATACACACAAATTTTCTGATTCGGATGTACATAATTGTATAAAAAGAATGTACATAATTGTATAAAAAATACACATAACTGTATGAACCAATACACATAACGTTGTGAACAAATACACATAACGTTGTGAACAAATACACATAATCTCAGCAACTTCCTACCGCGCCTCCCAACACTACTCCAAAACGACGTCATTTTGGGAGGCGCGCGGCGCACAGTGCTATGTGCGCCGTGGTGTAGGATATAACGATTGCACTATAGTGTCTGACGCAAGGTGCATGATTGATCATGCAATAATTTGCCATTGTTCTTACTAGTGGATTACTACTTCAGTCCTCCTAGACTGAGTAATGGGCGTAGTCCACAATGGGCTTGGCCCAATAAATCCCAACAAAAACCATTTATTTCACAAAAGCGCCGCTTTTCTTTTATTTTGGTTTTGGCTACGTAATCATGGCAATTTATATCCTACACCACGGTGCGCGTTGCACTATGCGTCCAGATACAAAATGACATCGTTTTATTTTATTTTATTTTTTTTTTTGAAATTTTCCGCCCCAGTGTATGACAGTTAATTTTTCTTTAAAAAAACCCCTGTTCAAAAATGTACATAATGTTATACTAGAATACACATAATTGTATACATGAATGTACATAATTATATAACAAAATATACATACTCTTTTCAAAAGATAATACACATAATCTAACATAATACATAATAAACATAAACTTTTAACATAATACACATCAACTCTTAACATAATATACACAAATTTTCTGATTCGGATGTACATAATTGTATAAAAAGAATGTATATAATTGTATAAAAAATGTATATAACTGTATGAACAAATATACATAATTGTGTGAACAAACATACATAATCACAGCAACTTCCTACCGCGCCTCCCAAAACGACGTCGTTTTGGGAGGCAGGCGGCGCACAGTGCTACGCGCGCCGTGGTGTAGGGTATAACGATTGACGTAATCATCAACATTATCAAACTTCAATTCTTGATTTGTTTTAGACACAGGTACGAGGTATATATACATGCATGTATATGAATGGCAATCTGTCATGATATGCATGATATGATGCAAGAATTGTCATTAACCATTTAGACTTAAAATCTCAATAACATTATCTTTGTTGTAAGAATAATAGACCAAGAAACGAGAGGGAAGGTTGAGATTCTCATTCATCGTTAGAATCCTTATACAAAGGTATCACCAAATATAAAGTAATTACAATACATATAAAAGGTAGTAACCTATCAATTACAATTACTACCATATATACAATAATGTCCATAATAATAATATTTATAACACTCCCCCTTGGACATTATTTGACATGATCCTGCCTTGTAAAAATTTGTTAGGAAAATCCTGGACAAAAGAGTATAAATGTATATATTCATGCCTCGTTAAAAACTTCACTAGGAAAACCACGTGGAAAAAACCTAGTTGAAGAAAAGAGTACATGATATTTGTAAGAACATATTTTGTACTGATTGCCTCATTAAAAACCTTAACTTAAGAAAACCCTGTGGGAAAAAACTTAGTTAAGGAAAAAAGAGTACAACCATAACCTTCAGGGCACAATCGACATAATCTTCAGGATTTTGGGGTTTGTCTACTTAAGCAATTATTTTACAACTTTTCCCCATTTACATTATTATATCATACTCATGTCTCGTTAAAAACCTCACTAGAAAACCCAGTGAGCAAAAAGAGTGCATGATGTATGTGTATTCTTTTTAGATTTAGCTGCCTCATTAAAAACCTTAGATTTAAGAAAAACCCCCGTGGGAAAAAACTTAACTAAGGAAAAGATCTTTAGTCATCTAAGACCTAATCTTCAGGATTGATTCATGTAAAATGATACTCCCCTCAAGATAACAATCTTTAATTCCCATACATCAAATTTCCAAACTGTATAGAGGGATTTTGTAAATAAATATATACAACTGTCATTTGAATAAATATACTCTATAATAATCTCGTGACTCTTCTGGAGTTCACGTGGTATAATATTGATATCATAATATCTAGTCAAAGGGATTTCATTATATATCCTTTTATCATTTGTGCAACACAATCTTTATTGATCCTTTATGGGACAATGGGGGTAAATATAGTACAACCAGTTTTGGGACTTAGCATTATGGGGATACAAAAATAATAGCCAGTACCCAAGTAGCCCATTGTATATTGGTTTGTCTAAGTATCCAATCAAAATCATATATTGGCTAACTGGTGTATGAAAATTTCTTCAAAGAAAAACTCGATCTTCAAGTCGAGATAATACTTAGCTTTCTCAAGCTTTTGTTTCAAAATCTCCGTCTTTAGATATGGGCTGACATCATCAAGCCCTTTATATATTTCATTGATGTTTTCCACCATCAATATTGACTTAGATAATAAATAATAAATAAGTTCATTATCAACCCTTTATCGAGCACACAATGGTACATATTATTCCTTCAATGAGGATATTAACTCCATTCGCAACCCTTTAAAGAGTAAATATAATGACACTTAAATTCTCATTTCCGGAATTATAAATCCATCAGGGATTTCTCAAAATAAATATTAACTATTTCAGGTCCTATAAAGACCTTAATATTTTATTGTGAGATTCACTTTTTCTCATTTTTAGAACTTAAAATCCTTCGGGGACTTTTGAATTTAATATTAGTTGCATATCTAAAATTTATTATTCTGCCAATGATGTAGCGGAACTTAATGCCATTTATCGTGGGAAAATATGTTTGATTAAAATCAATCAAGGGTATCTGCGTGAACCCATAAGGCTACAAACTCACTTTATATCATATCACCTCATTATTCATATTTCCCTTTCGTGCACACCCACTTGTAACCTTCGGGGTTAACTCTCAACGGTATATTGTTATAAAGAGAATTATTAATAATTAGCGAGTCGAGCTATGCCTTAATTGCTCCTTTATACGTTAAATAGTCATGGCACTTCCGGTGCATAACTCTGGATCCATATTAACATA